TTTGCTCTACAAGTGCCGTGGCTCCAATGTCAAATAATGTTTTTAATAATTGTACGTTCAATATAAGTAATAAATAAATTTAAATAAAACAAATTACCTATGTACTTTTTATTTTCATTTCATGAACTTTTTTGTAGGTAAATAGAACTTGAAATAACTTGAAATTTAGTAGATTGCTGTCTACCTACTATATATATATATATATATATATATATATATATATATATATATATATATATATATATATATAAATAGAAATGTTATTTAAATTATCCAGGTGGTCTAGCGATAGAGTTCTCGCTCTGCAATCGCAAGGTCCAGGGTTCGATTCCCCTAGGAAACTTTTTTTTTTCTTTTTTTCTTTATTTTTCTTTTTTTTTTTTCATTATTTTTATTTTTTTTTAATAATTTCGTGCTATACTCTATCTGTATACAACTCGACAACTGAAAATTTCCGAAACTCGACGTATTGCCTAACAAAACACCACTCGACCTACGGTCTCGTGGTGTTTCAGGCAATACGTCTCGTATAATCGAAAATTTTCAGTCGTCTAGTTGTATAATGTATGAAAATACTTGTGAAAAATGGTTGGCCAGAGCTTCAGCTGTTTCTTGATCATTATTACATAAGTTTCCATCCGTTTTTTTAAGAAGTGGTACTGATACTTTAGAAGATAGAGAGTATCTTATGTGTTTAATTAGCTTCTTAGGGTTATCGCTACTAGCGATATATTCTTCGTATTCTCTTCTTGCGTTATAAATAATATTGATTAAATCGTTTGCGAAACGTCGATGGTTAACAAAATCATCATGTCTTTTGGTAGCTTTAAATTTTTTCTGATGTTAATCTTCCAACAGAAATTAGTACAAAACAAAATTAATTTCGAATAATCCTAAGAACAAGTTGCTTTTAACGTTTATATATTTCATCAACAAGAACTAATGTTTTAAAACCATCGCCATCGCCATCGCCATCATTAGTCAGAAAAATCCTAAATATATATTTTATTGTTGTATTTGTTGCATTTAAGGCCAATTTTTTCACCTCCAGTAAAGTTGAAAGTAACTACTTGCTGATTAAGCTATAGGGCGATTCTTGTTAATCTATCAAGTAAACCTACATTTAACTTTACTCAAAAGTGAAAATATCGACCCTTAGTCTGCATATTGTTCAGCTATTCTTACTTAGTTTTAATCATAACTTTAAGCTGTTTAATTGGACATGACAATAAGTAAAAAAATTAAAAATTAGTATACAGGGTTGGCCAAACCTCTGTCGTAGTTCTATAACTCCTATTATGCAAATCTTAACGATTTATTCGAAGTATACCTGTCAATGGTGGTCAAAACCAAATATCCCAAAATTATTTTCTTCTATTTTTTAATGGAATGACCCAACTTTTTTTCCAATTTTAGGTACTCTATGGTCACTAGTGCATACCCACAAAATATTGTTTCTAACATCCTACCCCTTTCGCAGAAAAAGAAGAAATACCAAAAAATATTTTAGAATTTAAAAAACTACAAATGTATAAAGCCAATAGACCAAAAATTTTTTCAGACCAAGTTTTAATTTTTTATTTTGTACAGGGTGGTCACAAATTAATTTCAATTTCCAAAAATTTCTAGGACATATTTTTCAAATAGTATTACTATTCATCGATGAAACGAAAATTTTATACCCTTCGACTTCCCCATGTACTTTCCTATACCTATCTGTCGTCGTTTAAAAGTAAATTCCAAAAATCCATTACTAACGCGGATAGTACCTACTCCAAGAGTGAACTGATCGTCATCACGAGCCCGTTCAAACAGGACAGGATACTATTTGAAATTATTTAAATTGACGAAAAAAAATAGAAAAACAAATTATTATCAGAGGGAAGAAAATTTACTAACGCAGATAGTACCTACTCCAAGAGTGAACTGATCGTCATCACGAGCCCGTTCAAACAGGACAGGATACTATTTAAAATTATTTAAAAATTGCGGTTTACAGATTAACTCAAAAAAAATATAACGCGGATAGCACCTACTCCAAGGGTGAACTGATCGTCATCACGAGCCCGTTCAGACCAGGACAGGATGCTATTTAAGATTATTCAAATATACGGTAAAAGAAATAAACAAATTATTAAATCCAATTTCTACCAGTGGTTTTATTGAAAGTGAACATTCAATTAAGTAGGCTGGGTCTTAATGAAGTGTCAGATTATTTATTAATGAAGTGTCAAGTTATTTTTACTGATCGCGATAATTCTTCTATTAATAATGAATTTTACGAAAAACGAATTAATTGACATGGTCTATGTTTTGGGAGAATACGACAGAAATTGTTTATTGGCAAAAAGAATTTATCATCAACGATATCCCGATAGACGTATCCCTGATCAAAAAAGTTTTGAAAAGTTACATGAAAGATTTACCGAAACAGGAAATGTTGCTTATAAAAAACCAATAATTGACAAACGTGCTACTGATAATGATAACCAATTATCTGTAATTTTGACAGCGATAGGAGATCCTCATGTAAGTCAAAAAAAGATTGCCGAAGTAGTAGGTATAAGTAGAACATCCGTTAGAAGGATTTTAAAACAGCATCAATATCATCCTTATAAAATACAATTGCATCAAGAGCTGAAAGACACCGATTTTGATAATAGAATGGTGTTTTGTAACTGTGCACAAACTAAACTGCAACAAAATCCATTTTGTTTTGATAGAGTGCTGTTTTCGGATGAATCTACATTCCACAAGAACGGATTCGTTAATAGACATAATTTCCACTATTATTCCACGGAAAATCCTAATATCATCAGAACAGATAGCCAAGAAAGATGGAGTGTAAATGTTTGGGGAGGTATAATTGGGGATCATGTTATTGGGTAGTATTTTTTTGAAGGCAACTTAAATGGTCTGATGTATTTAGATTTTTTAGCAAATCATCTTCCTACTTTACTTGAAAACATTTCCCTTGCTGTAATGTGGTACCAACATGATGGGGTAGCAGCGCATTTTTTACGCGAAGTGGCAGATAAATTAGATGAAAAGTTTCCAAATAGATGGATTGGTAGAAATGGTCCAAAACAATGGCCAGCTCGATCACCTGACTTAACAAAACCCGATTATTTTTTGTGGGGTTATATTAAAAATCTAGTCTATCTTACGCCACCTACAACACCTGAAAATATGAAAGAAAGGATAGTGCAAGCTTTCCATTCCATTACACCTGATATGCTTAGAAACGTTTCTCGATCATTCGCCCAACGAATAAATGTATGCATTAGAGAAAATGGCAGACATTTTGAACATCTTTTATAAAATGTAAAGGAGAATGGGCAAATTTGCCCCACCCCCCAATAGGAATAAGATATATGCCAAATGAAAGATATCGGTAAGGAGAACATTTGTTTTTATTATGACTTGTCTCAATTCTCTGTCCGATCCGAGTTATACAGTGTGTCTACTTAAGTTGAAACCATATGGAAAACTTTTTTAATATTGGTTTTCTGAAAAAAATATTATTGATAAGAAGTTTTGCATGGTCCAAAACTTAAAATGCAATCATCAGATTTCAATTTTTTTAAGCCGTATACAAGGTTTGCCAAAAAATATGAATTTTACTCAAGAGTAAAGTACCTTATTTTTTAAAATACGGAAGAATGTTATAAAGTAAAGTAATTTAGATTTAAATTCAAACTTTTTGAAGCACACTGTAAATTCCAAAATATTTTTTAATTAGAGTTTCAATACATATTCATCTTTCTGTATAAAAGTAATTTGAAAAAATCATATGTCATAGTCTGAACAGACGCGTATAGAATGCCTCACCCTGTATGTATTACGAATGGCTTTATATTCGTTCTAGTGTAAATGGGGTTATAATATTTATAATTGTGTTATTATGTTAGTCCATTGCCTTGGTCTTGAACCATTGGTGTCGGTCCTTTGGAGAGCATATGCAGGGCTGTGTAACCATCACATAGAGGCCATTTGGTAGGGGATACACATGGCGGATAAAATCCTCGACATCATCTTATGATATACCAGGATATTATAATTATTTATATATCACTAAGAAGTAATAATTACTATTATTTTCCTGTAATAAGCACTACAATAACAAAATATAAGCACTGACCTATCGTGCAATTAATTACATTTAGGATGGTATAACTCGGAACGGACAAGTAATTGAGAGAAATGTTCTCCTTAAAAAGATCTTTCAATTGATATATAACTTATCCTTATTGGAGGTAGGGCAATTTCCCATACATTTTTGCCCATTGTCCTTTATGTTTTAGGATAAATTTCAAATAAATTTTATTATCGTAATTTTCTTCCTTTTGAATTTATTTTATAACGGCGACAGATAGGTATAGGAAAGTACATAGGAAAGTGGAAGGGTATGAAATTCTCCTTCAGTTGATGAATAGAAATACAGGGTAATACATTTGAAAAATTTTAAAAAATCTCCCTCGAAATTTTTGGAAAGTGAAATTAATTTGTGACCACCCTGTACAAAATAAAAAATTAAAACTTGGTCTAAAAAAATCTTTGGTCTATTGGCTTTATACATTTGTAGTTTTTTATATTCTAACGTCAAATTCGAGAGAGCACTGCATATTTTAATAGGCGTCTGAAAATGTAATATTTTTTGGTATTTCTTCTTTTTCTGCGAAAGGGGTAGGATGTTAGAAACAATATTTTGTGGGTATGCACTAGTGACCATAGAGTACCTAAAATTGGAAAAAAAGTTGGGTCATTCCATTTAAAAAAAAAATAAGTGATTTGCCTAATTTACTATTGGGCCACCCTGTAAATAAAAAAATTATTTTGGGATATTTGGTTTTGACAACCATTGACAGGTATACTTCGAATAAATCGTTAAGATTTGCATAGTAGGAGTTATAGAACTACGACAGAGGTTTGGCCAACCCTGTATAGTTACTCTGTTACACACTCTACTGCCTCTTAATGACAAATTTCATTATACTTACTTTGTGGCATAGCAATCCCATACGATTTCGTATCCAATAAACCTCCAACTTGTCTCAAATTGCAATTCCTTTCGAGTGCATACTCTAAAGTAGTAGACTCCATGAAAAATGCATATTGTCCATTAGATTCTAACACCCTATCTACACCGTCTTGAGTTGTTTTAGTAAACACAGCTGGTGTATGTTCAATGTAGTGCCATAATTTTGCATACGTAGTTGTGTTGGAGTTTCTGAAAAAATCTTCCGTTGATCCACCTTTCAGCATTCCGTATTTAATTTGAGTTTGTGATGTTAAATCATCAACGCCCTGAAGTGGTGATTCTAAATTGGATAAGTTGGCTACATTGGCAGTGTTGGCTATATAGTAACTTGTTAGTATGAGGCAGAATAGCCACCACATGCTGATTGCCAGTCTTGCAGATTTGCCCCTAAAAATGATATAAAGAATTACTTACCAGGGCTGGTATATCTAAGGGGGTCGCGACATAGACCCAGGATCAGGGGGTGACTGAGGCTAGGGGGGAAATAGTAGTCAGCTTAAGTTGGCAACACTTTTCTGACGTTCGTTTGAACGAGCATCGTGCATAATAATGTCAGTATGGTACAAGTGGAATGAACCACTGTTTTCCTCGTAGTCTCATGTCGAATTAAAACTAAAAACATTTTGTACTTTTTTATATACCAAATTATGCAATTTTTTTCCACTTTATTTTAATGTTACATGAATAGGTACATGCGTTTGTGCTGTGGTAAATAAGTGTTCATGTGAAAATTATCTCTTAAACTACATTGTGATTGCACTCGTCTCAAAACTGAATGCTGTAAATCCAGGATTTAAATCTTTCATAGTGTTGCTTGGGATAAATTGTAAAAAAGGTGTTGGACAAAACGTTTACAACCTAAAATTGCATGAAAAACATGATAGAAGAAGGAATTTTACCTTTATGACATTCTCTTTCAACATTTTTAAGTTACTTTGTGGTTTAGTGAATGGACTGTTACCACAGTCAAAAGATTCAAAGTAAAAAAAAAGTGACCAAGTTCTAATAAGAATACATAAGTTGAATATGAAAATGTAATTACTTGATTTAAATGTGATTTAATTAAGAGTTAAATAGAGGTTTCATATAAACAAAGTGCTGTAAAATGTTAATAAATGCAAAATCATTATTAAAGAGAAATTAGTTATCATCAATACGATATTTTGTAGTAGCTGGTCTCTATAAATAATAAACTTGAAAGACTGAATTAGTAGTCACTTTTACACTAGAAGTAAAAACAAAAAAAATGTGTGGTTGAGACTAATTTATGTATTTAATAAAAACATATTTAACATAAAAGCAGGTGTTATTTGAAATGTTTTATTTTAGTTTAATGATCTTTATAAATTGTGGGTACATTTGATCCGAATCTTGCAAATACTATAAAATGCATATGCTTCTATATGGTTAGTATTGGAGTAGAAGCACAAAAGTTTTGAATAAAAATATAGATACCGGAATATTTTGCTTGATTACTAAACTTTGGATGTTTTTGTTGTAGTCTGCTGTTAACACTATTGTCCTGAAATATTAAAACAGCTAGACAAAGGTTTGTCCAACTCTATTGTCAGCTTTGTTAATCTATGCTACTGTTATTCTGCATGCAGACATTTTTTACTGGATATTTTCTCTAAGAACTGTATTCAGTTTCAAATTTCGGCCAGTTTTAGGAAAGTACCTCTGTTGTAAAGGTATTTCAAATCCATCCTTTGTAATATGTAGACAACAAATACATGCTAAAATGTATAGAAAACAAATCGCAAGATATTACACAAAATCATTTAAATTAACTAAAAACATACAAATGAAGTGAATAATACCTACCAACAATTTAAAAAGACCTAAAATAAATAGACTTAAGGGACTGGAGCTCTAAAAAAGGGATCAATAATTTGTTATGCATCATCTATAAGAAAATTGTATTTATCTCTTTAATTACCTTTTAAAATAAACAAAACTAAAACATCACAAAATTGAAAGTGATCTACTTTGCCAGACGTATTTTATGTACATCTGAGATTAATAATTTATTAAATTGAAATATTTTATCCTAAAAAATATGGTCATTTTATAATGGGGAAATGTCATTTAAGAAATGACATTGATTTTTTTTCTTATATTGGTAAACCTGGCGGCTACAAGTTGCCACGTTGCCAGATCAATGGCGACTACTATGTGACTACTATTTCGAAAAAAATGGCGTCCAAAATGGACTCCTATGTCGCGACCCCCTTAGATATACCAGCCCTGTATAGGACTAATTATTGACCCTTGTGGCGTTCCATTGTTTCCGTTTTGATTTTCCGAAAAGGAATTATTTACTCTTACACGAAATAATCTATCCTTCGGAAAATTTTTAATAAAGGCAAGACAGTTGCCACGAATATTCCACAAGTGAAGTTTTCTTAGAATGTTAAATCTCCAGCAGGTGTTAAAGGCTCTTTTTATGTCGAAAAATATTGCTATGCAAGTTTGTTTTGTTGCTAGAGATTCGTGAATTTCGCTTTCTAGATCCAAAATATTATCGATCCCAGATCGGTTTTGTCTAAAACCGTTTTGCTAGGAGATTAAGTGGATAGAATTTTCCAAAGTCCACATGAGTCTTAATAATTCATTATTTTGTATTTTTTGTACTCCTGTTAAATGCACTTTTTTTGTTTTGTTTATGTATTTGTAATTTATTTTCTGTTATTGGGTAATCTCGTTGAAAGTAACTGAATTATTGTCAACCAACTGAGGGAAAAAAAGAGTACCGCACGTTATTACCGCTAACAGGTAAAAAATATAAAATACTAAATATTTAACTTACTTCGGAACTGCATCACTGCCTTGCATAGTTAACGCTCTAAGTGTTAGTAATAAAGAATTTTTTAGATCCCAACGGTTTACTAATGTATCATCTAACTCATCGCAAGGATGTCTCCTCTCCCAATCATCAGGTGATAACCTTAAAAAAATATAAATATAAAATCTCATTTATTTTCGAAATGGACGAAAAAAAATCGATGATAAAGTTATACTTCTTTCGTGACAGAAAAAGCGTTCTTTTGGTTTTGTTCTGGTTCAAACAGAACCTGCGATTCCAGTTCTCAAATACAGTGGACGAATTAATTTTTTAATAACACGTCGCGAGGTTATAACAACCTCTTAGCTGATCGAGTGTAATTCAGTGATTCTAAACTAGTTTCCGAAAGAACCAGAACAAGCCTATTGTAATGTGAACCATTTCATTAGTCAGTTCATGCTCTAATACTCCAAGTCTCTCTCTGTATTATTTGGCCTTTGAGGTTTAAATAAATTATTAATAAATAAACTGTTGTTTTAAAGTAAACAAACATCACACTATTATAATAATATCATTAAAATGTATCTTAAACAGTACAAATGATAACTTACCTTAATACAATGTACAAGCAAACTGATATAGCAATATAGGAATATAAGATCGTCGTCCAAAGTGATTTGCTAAAGCGACTTAAAAATACAAAATACTGTGTGTCTCCAAAATCTGGTTTACTGTGTAATAAACTTATTCCTAAAAAAATACATTTTCGGTGGTTATTAATAATTCTATAAATTTATTGCTTTTTTATACCTAATTCCATAAAGGGTAAGCTAAAGTCCACCACTTCTTCTCTTTCTTGAGTAATTGTTATATCAGATATTGCTAAATGAGCTTTCTAAAATAAAAAAAGGGTAGTTAAATGAAACCAATGTTCCTCATAAGTTCCTTAGGAGGCATTTCATGCCAAATGATAGTTTGTTGAGAAAAATCAATCCATAACGGTTTTTTATAAATCGATAATAAATGCTTAAAAGTTAAAATTCTAATATAAGCTTGCTTCGAAATATTTTTTTGAAATTTTTTACAAAAAGTACGTTTGAAAATAAAGATTTTTTGTTATTATGAAAATTTCATTCAGATCATTTTTTGCGAAGTTATGTGTGTTTGAAAAAAAAAACATTTCTGAATTTTTCAAAAATCAAGATCTCGAAAACGGTTGGAGAAAAAAATTTGAAAAAAATCATGGAGGTATCTTTTAATCTATACTCGAACATTAAAAAGTTTAAAAAATCCAAGATACAAAAGCTAAATGATGTCTGATATGGCATGGAATGCCCCTAATACATAAAAATGTTGATTTATGTGTTTTCGGTGGTATATTTAAAAATTACTTTTCTTCCTAGAGCCTAAAATGTAAGTTTTTTAATAAATATTAAATATTTAAAAAAAAGGCTTCTTCCCAATATTTTCCAAAATTAAAATCGTTTTTTATTATAATGACTTACCTTTTCTAAAACGTCACCAATCAGCCCAGTCCATTTATCTTCAATTTCGTCGTAAAATCCATAAGAACCGCCTTCAGTAAGTTGTATTTCGAATTCAAATCCAACTATTTTTGCAATTTGGGCTATTAAATCCAAGCAAAAACCCTCATACCTAGCATTTCCTTCTAGTATTTCTCCATCGTCAGCTTCTGCTTGCATTAAGTAAGGAGCGCCAAGTCTATGAACAAAATAAAATTACAGCCGGTTGTAAAAATGTACATTGAAATATATAAGCCCGATAAACTTTGATAGAGGTTAAGAATTTTATATGTCTTAAATGTAATAAACGTTGGATTAACTTAAAAAATACGCTATTAGTAACTTTAAAAGAAAAATTTTTTATTTTATTATTTTTTATTTTATTATTTTTTATTCTTTTTGGTAGATTGTGGATTTTAGTCGACACCTAAAACTCAAGAATCTTCCAAAAATAATATTTATATTATTCAAAAATATATTGCAGTACATTGGTTGCCGCTTAAAAGATAGGGAGAGGAAGAAATTATTGTGACAGACTCCATTTTTGCCAATAATCCTTTTATCTTTAATACAAATCCTATCCTATTTTCATAAAGGGAAAATAATTGTTTATTAGTTGAATAATGTATATAATATACGGAGCAAGTCAACTCGGCGATGTAAAGTCAGCGACGGTCAACTCGGCGATGCCGAGTCGGCGATGGTCATCTCAGCGATGGTAAACTCGGCGACGATCAACTCGGCGAAAAGGAATACAATAATATATTATTCAATTATTTATTATAATACAAAATAAGATACAACCTATAAAAAAATTTGATTGGAGAATTTGATTAATAAAATAAAAATATATAAGAGATTTTAAATAAGAAACTGGAAAAAAGTTATTATTACTAAAGTAAATCAACATATACAGGAAAAAATATATTAAATATTAAAACTAAGAATCTGAAAAAGAAACTTCTTGATTAAGAAATTAAAATTTAATGGCCAGAGTTGTTTGGAATTACAAAATTAAGGTGGCAATAAAATCAATTAAGGGTCTTAACTACAATTAGGGTTTTTAATACCTAGTATTAGAAAGCAAATAAATATCAAGGGCTTAAGATTTTTCAAAGCAAAATAAAAATAAGATTACCTTATAATTGCCTGCTTAAGGGCTTAAAATTTTTCAAAACAAAATAAGATTACCTGCTTACTTGTACCTACATCCTATAAAAGACTGGTGATATTCACTTTCCTTAATATTCCGAATTCATCTCAGAAGTAAAGACATTGTGTGTAATTTTGTTTGTCTGTGTGAGTTTTTTATTTACTGAGACTCAAGATGGAAAATAAAGTTCTTAGCCAAAGGGGTCACGAAAAGTACTAACTGGGATGGCTACCTATACACGAAGGATAAAACGAACAAGAACAACACCATTCAATTCTGGCGCTGCGAAAACAAGCATGAAAGATGCAAAGGAAAAATATGGACCAATATTATGGATGGTTCTTTCAAATGTATACGAAATGAACACACATGTAGTACGGTAGGAAATGCAGCAAATGTTGTTCTGCAAAAAAATGAATACCACTGTGAAGCACCTGGCCGCGACAACGATGGAGAATCCTGCCCAAATCAGAGGAAGAGTTTTGGAGAATGTACCAGCTGCGGTTAAAGGAATGCTTCCAAGTTCCAGTGTTATGCGGAGAAACATTCAAAGAGTAAGAGTAACCATGTGCAAAGCACCCGCCAATCCAGAAACTCTTAGTGAAATTATCATCCCAGAAGTGTACTCGCAATATTATTACATCCCTACTCAATTTGAGAATTTTTTGCTGGCAGATTCCGGAAGAGATCAAGTGGATCCACATCGAATTCTAATATTTGGTAGAGAATACCATGCAACATGGAGTGCAAGCATGAAAGAATTATTTGTTGACGGCACATTCTTATTGTGTCCTCCACTTTTTGCTCAAATATTTGTTGTTCTGGCAAGAAAAGATACGCATGAAGAGAAGGGTCCAGTTTTTCCTGTACTATATTGCTTGCTGCCCAATAAAAGTGCAGAAACATATCTCAATGTGTTTAACATGATAAAAGTTCTTTGGCCGCAATTAAATCCGGAAAGCATCAGTGTCGACTTTGAGTTGGCAATTCACCAGGCCGTAAGATAAGTTTTCCCAGAAGCCGAAATTAGAGGATGCTTATTTCACTTGGTCAAAAATCTTCGAAAGCATTTATCTTCTTGCAATCTCCTAGGAATGTATAATACTGATCCCGAATTTGCACTACAAGCAAAAATGGTAACATCATTGGCATTTGTCCCAAAAGAGGATGTGATTGAGGCCATTGCCGAATTGGAAAATGAGTTGCCAGAAATATTAGAACCAATTTTAGAATGGTTTACCAGCAATTATATCGGTCGACTTAGGAATAATGGAACCAGAGTGCTAGCAACTTTTCCATCAGCAGTTTGGTTCGTTTATTTTCATTGAATGGACGAGATAGGACAAATAATTTTGCAGAAGCATGTCATCGCAAGTTGCAACTGGCTTTTGGTTCTGGCATTGCTCTTCCTTCGTTATGGACATTCATAGATAATTTAAAAAAGGTACAGTCTTCGTACGATGCAGACTATGAACGAGCTATTGTCGGGCGCAATGGCGCATCAAAAAGGAAACGCTATGAGGAAGCCGACGAGAGGATTTTTAATAAAGTGGCCAATTATAACAGGCAAAATTTGATCGAGTATCTCAGAGGGATATCACATAATTACAACATGAATTAGTTTTTTTATATTATATTGTATTATAATAAATATATGTATTTTAAATAATTTTATTGTGTATTATAATAAATAACAATATTCTATAATCAACCTTTTTTATTTCAGTTTTTATTTTTTAATTCCGTTTCAGCATATAATATGTTATTTAATTTTTTTTATTTCATAACCTAATATTTTAATATATTATATCTTATTTTTATTTTGCATTGAAAAATCTTAAGCTCTAAATTTTCCCTTAATATTTTAATTTGCTTTCTGATAATATGTATTAGAAACCCTAATTGTAGTTAAAACCCTTAATTGATTTTATTGCCACTTTTAAAATCTCTTATATATTTTTATTTTATTAATCAAGTTCTCTAATCAATTTTTTTTATAGATTTTATATTATATTGTATTATAATAAATAATTGTATTATAATAAATAATTGCATATTATATTATTGTATTCCTTTTCGCCGAGTTGATCGTCGCCGGCTTTGCATCGCCGAGTACCGATTTTAATTATTGCTTTGTATTATTGTTTTGTATTATTGTTTATTTACTGTTTTAATTTGATTGGTTTGAAAAACAAAAAAATAACATATTTATGTAAAAGACTAAGTAATTAAACGTAGGCGTAAATTATCAATATAGGTACTTAATACTTATTTAGAATTAAAAAAAAAAACACTTACAGATAGATGCAAAAACGTTCAATAAAATTTGCGAGTCTCTAATACAAATTTTAAAACTAATTTCTAATTACTACTTATTGTTAGTTAAATACAACTACTTAACTATATTGCAATTTTCACAAAACTCTAATAATAATATACCAAACGTTGCTCTTCGTACTTTGACAGCTGTATTTGACGTTAAACCACCTCTAAAACACTGAGAAAACTTGGTAGTTTTTTGTCCACGAATCACCCATTTAGTTTCGCTTCTTGGGTAGGTATTCTTGTTAAATATGCAGGAGAACAAATCTTATGAGTGACGTTAAAAGTAAAACATTTTATTGACAAATCACAATAGTTAGTATATATAACATATAGACATAGTATGTAAAGAGTGGACACTGGATTACATACAGGCATATGAACAACACACCCGCTTAAGACAGTGGCTCAGTCTCTGTAGTCATACCAAGTCTTCTCTTGCAATTTTCGAATTTGATTCTGCTTTGGGATTTTGTAAAAATATCAGCAACCATTTTATCTGTAGGCATGTACTGTATTTGAACTTCTCCTTCAGAAACAACTTCTCGGACATAATGATGTCTAATATGAATATGTTTAGTCCGTGAGTGATATACAGGATTATTTACCAATTTAATAGCACTTTGACTATCACAGTAAATAATGGTTGATTCATTTACTTTATATAGTTCTGTTAGAACCCATCGAAGGAATAAGGTTTCTTTTAAGCCATCTGATAACGCAACATACTCTGCTTGAGTACTAGATGTAGCAACAGAAGACTGCTTTTTGCTTCCCCAAGATATCGAGCTACCAGCAAACATGAACACGTAACCAGTTAAAGATTTCCTATCTTCGATGTCAGACCCCCAATCTGCGTCTATGAAACCTGTAAGATCACAACCACTAGATGTATAAACTAATCCTTGATCCGCTGAACCTTTTAGATAGCGCAGGATTCTTTTTGCATGATTCCAATGCTCTATACTGAAACTGTTATTAAACCTGCTTGAATAATTTACAGCGAATGAAATGTCTGGTCTAGTGCAAATTGATAAGTACATAAGACTTCCAATGAGACATTGATAAGGTACATCAGGTAATACTCCATCAAATTTTATCAATTTTAAGTTTGATTCCATTGGAGTTCGAATGGGTTTACACTCATCCATTTGAAATTTTTTCAAAAGTTCATGGACATAATGAGTTTGGTCAAGTTTTATGCTATTACCTGAATCTGAATCATTGTAGGTAATTCTGATACCTAAACAGTATTCAGCTCTACCAAGATCTTTCATATGAAAAAATGACATTAGCTTTGACTTAATAGTTAGCTTCTCTTTCTCGTTATTGCAAAATAAAAAGAAATCATCCACATACAGTGCGAGAAAAAATATAGTCTTTTCAGAAATTTTGTAGTAAACGCAAGGCTCGTAATTACTTTGTTTTAAACCTAACTCTAGCAATATATTATGTGCTTTAATATTCCACATTCTGGAAGCCTGTTTTAAGCCATATATAGCTTTCTTTAAAAAACATACTTTATGTTCTAAATTTGGTCGTATAAAAGCTTCAGGCTGTTGCATATAAACCGTTTCGGTAAGTTCGCCATTTAGAAAAGCCGTTTGTACATCCATATGGTCTATACTCAGATTTAATTTTGCTGCAAGACCTATAAGCATTCTTAGTACTTCATGTCTTACTACGGGTGCAAAAGTTTCCTCATAGTCTATGCCATACCTTTGTACAAAACCTTTAGCAACTAACCTGGCCTTGTACCTCAAAGTTTTGCCTTCGGAATTCCTTTTTTGTTTAAAAACCCATTTACATGGTATTATATTTACATTTTTAGGCTTATCTACTAATGTAAAAACTTCTTTAGCAATCAAGGAGTTATATTCCTCTGACATTGCCTGTAACCATTTGTCCTTATCGGGCCCTTCAAGAGCTTCAGATACAGTTATAGGATCATGAGTCTCTTGAACGTCAGTATAATGCACATGATTATTATTTAAACGGTTTCTAAGAGGATATCTACAACCTATTTCTTCTTCAGAGACAACATCTGTGGTACTTTTTGATTCGAGATCACCCACTTCAGAAGTGTTTAGTTCAGGTCGCTGATGCTGAATAGGCTTCAAGCTTACGACAACAGACGAAGTTGATGTTGAAGCTTCAGCTAGCAACTGATTATCTGAAAGTTGTGAGTTTTCTAGAAAATAGACATCTCTAGCACGCGTCACTTTACCATCTTTGTATACTCTATATCCTACGGAGTCTTCACAATATCCTACAAATAGATATTCATTACTTTTAGTATCCCATTTTTGTCGAAGTTGGTCAGGTTTATGGACAAATGCTCGACAACCAAAAATTTTAAGATTTGATAAATCTGGTTTAATTTTTGACCAAGCTTCCTCAGGAGTGACATTTAAAACACTACTATGAGGCGATCGATTAAGTAAATAGACAGCAGTATTGCAGGCTTCAGCCCAAAATTGTTTCTGAAGTCCAGCCTCGTCTAACATACACCTTGCTTTATCGCAAATGGAACGAATCGCTCTCTCAGCTACACCATTAAGTTCAGGAGTCATTGGAATTGTCACATTATGTTTAATTCCATGTTCACTTAGAAAATCGTTAAAATTATTACTTATGTATTCGCCGCCATTATCAGACCTAAGAATTTTAATTTTCTTATTAGTTTCGTTTTCTACCATGGCTTTAAAAATTTTGAATTTTTCAAGAACTTCATATTTATGTTTTAAAAAATATATAAATATTTTTCTTGAAAAATCATCTACGAATATAAGCATATAACGACAACCTCCAATGGACTGAGTTTCCATCGGACCTGCTAAATCAGAGTGAACAAGCCCTAAGACTTCTTTTGTCCTTGAACTAGATTTATTAAATGGTTGTTTTGTTTGCTTTCCCTTTAAACAGCTAACACAGGGGTCATTAAAAGTTCCTTTAAAATTTATACCTTTTACAAGTTCTTTTAATTTATTCATACTTTTGCTATTTAAATGACCTAAACGCTTATGCCATATTTTTGAACAAGTTATATTAGCAGTATGAACAAATTCAGAATTATAATTAATTTCTGAATTTAAAGTAGAAATGGTATTTAATTTATACATGCCATTAAATCTACTGGCTGTGGCACATTCTTTACCAAAAATTTGAATAATATTTTTATTGTAAATTATGCACTCTTTATTATCAAAAACACAAATTAAATCTCTATCTGTCATTTTACTAACAGATAAAAGATTTGTGGATAATTCTGGTACGTGCAAAGTATTAATAGCACATTTAATACCAGCTTCAGTAAGTATTGGAATATCACCTGTACCTTGAGAAAAAATCGTTTCTTTATTTGCACAAATTACTTCAGTAGAAGGAGTATTAGAATTAAAATTATCCATCCAATCATTGTAAAGAGACATATGCATAGAACAACCTGAATCTATAAACCACTCACGATCATATCTCTTATTCATATTAGCCATTAAAACATACTGAGAATCAGCTGAAGTCATAAAAGCTTAAACATTTGATCTGCTATTAGATGAACTTGGGTTGTTTTTGTTCTGTGAAGAGTCATCGTACTTCTGTGGACAATCCCCCTTTTTATGATCACCCCATTTCTTACAAATATTACATTTGTACTTCTTCTTATACTTATTATGAGTTTTGTTTTGATTATTATTCTGGTTTTCCTGATAGTTACTCTTTTTAGTTCCATAAAAAACCGTGGTATTATCAGATTGATTATCTAATCTAAATTCCATATTCAGAAGTCTTTGTTTAATGTCTTCAGAATTTAATTTGTTTGAAGATGATTCAAGGCCCATTATAAATGGGTCGTAATATTTAGGTAAACAACTAAGATATATTACAGCAACAAATTCGGATTCAAGTGAATGGCCCATATTCGCTAGCTTTTGTGTTAAACTTGCAATATCAGTTACATACTCGGACATATTTCTGTAATTATTAAGTTTAACTGAAAAAAGCTGTCGTAACACATTTAACCTGCCAATAAGCCCACAATCTCCTAGTGTTTTTGACAAAATATCCCATGCTTCCTTGGAACTGGCAGCAGATTCTACATGAGAATATAGATGTGGTTTAATTAGAAGAACAATTTTCGCTAGAGCTAGTTCATCCAAATCGTCCCTATTTTTCCAATCAGGATCTTTATCATTCATAGATCCTTCTACGACTTTCCATAATTTTTCTTGCTTGAGGTAATGTTTCATTGCAAAACTCCAGGTCTGCCAGTTGGAGACACTTTCCAGCTTCTCAATGACTAATTGAGCACTACTCATTTTTATGGGTAATATGGATAGCAATTATGTGTAAAATAACGTTTTTACTATAATTATTTGCCTGCTTGGCTCATAACCTGTTAAATATGCAGGAGAACAAATCTTATGAGTGACGTTAAAAGAAAAACATTTTATTGACAAATCACAATAGTTAGTATATATAACATATAGACATAGTATGTAAAGAGTGGACACTGGATTACATACAGGCATATGAACAACAATTCTTTGGTGTAATTAGTATGTTTAAAACTGAATTTGCCTTTGATTATTGCCCTGTGGTCCTGGATTAATTCTTTTTGGTTGCTGGTTTTGCGGTCGATAACTATCGGGGGCATGGAAATTTTATTTTTGTTATTTCTAACTATGTCTGCGGTGGGTTTAAGAGTTTTGGATTATTTAGTTTGCATATCTCTTTGTATATTAGAGTGATTTGATGCAGTAGCCTCATCTAGATTTAGTGGTCTAAATTTTGCTCCTTTTTTTCTCTTTTTGCCTCTTTCGTCTTCAGTATCTGTGTCGGAATTGTAGGTTAATATTTAAAATTGATTTTTAGTAATGGTCAAAGTGTTCTTCGACTTTTTTCTGACAAGCCGTTAGAAATTTGAACTGAATTTCTTTGGTTCTTTGATGGGTTCATCGTTATTCTGGGAATTTCCATCATAATTTTCGTTTTCTTGAGCATAGCTTGCATGTTTAGTAGCGGTTCTCAGCTCACACAGGCTGTTCGCAAAATGGGGGGATTATTGTGTCTCTTCTCTTTTATCTTTGTCTACATTCCTCGTCTGAGGTGTGACTATTTGAGTCATATTCAAGGATGTTACATGATACACTTTCATTTTTCTGAACATTTATCTTGATTCTTGGGTCACTATTCAAGCGTACTCTTTATTGCGCCTCTAGAAGGGATAGGAGGGTTATTTATGTCAGTATATTCAACAGTTTGTAAGACTAGGGATGTGGGGACATTCCGAGAAAACATGTTACTCAAATCTCTCCTCATTTGGGCGCTAGTCACACCGCTAGTTGCAAGACTGATCGGTTTTGGGGGTGTGTTCGTACTCAGATCATTGTTTTGAAAGTCCAATAGCTTAGTGATGACATTTTTTGGGAGAGCAAGTGTTTTGTAAGCCGGTTTTTTTGTGGTAGTCTCCGTGATATATGCCGAGTCAAATTTTTCTGAGATTGGGGACTTTTCTCCTGGTTCTTTGGCTTCATTATTAATAATTGTGGTGTCCATCTCACTGTGTATACTATCAAAGCGTTTTATAGAATCGTCTGAGTCTTCAAGAACATTTAACAGTTCCTGTACTGAAAAATTAAGTTCTGACTGTCTTGACTGTCATGGACATATTTTTGTTGTGTACTACTTTACTAACAGTTTGACGGTCATCAAGAGGCTCCCTGTTCCGGGTAGCTGACCCCAGTGTTAGTTAAAGTTAGTTTGCGTGAATCTTTACTCACTTTTCTGTTGATTTTATAATTTTTTAATGATTGTAGAGAATGGATCGCTACGTAGCTCTTCGCATCAGCGACATCTTTGGCGGTAGGAATGACAGTTAGCTGGCATCTATTCTTTGTAAAACCCGTGGGTTTAACTGAAGTTGTGGGGGCCCTTTCGGGCTCGGGCATATACCGATTATTTACACTGGTTTATAGGAGTTTATGAAAAAGTAAAAAGTTTAACAATTTGAATTTTTGACAGGTGTCACTTGTAATCTGTAAACAAGAAACGCAGATTATCGAGCAAATAGTATCTAGCAAAGTTCTAGGTGTACTGAACAATTTATTTAATAGTTGTTACTAAATTGTTGTATCATCTAGAAATGTAGGTCATAAATAAATAAAAAAAAACATTTTAACTTTTATACGCAGCGCCGATATTTTAGTTAAAGAGTTAGTGAAGTTAGTTTTGTGCCTTGTGAAATTTTCAAGTAAAAAAAAAACGATAGTGATTCTATAACTTACTTTGATGACACGATAACTTTAGTCGACTGCAAATTATTCACTACTGCTACAGATTTATCGACCTCTTCATTAACAATCAAACTTTGATTATTTTCAAACCAAGTGGCGATCTTCTTATTTTGTAGTACATCGACAACAATGAGATTAAAATCAACTCTGCTACCTTTGGCGTCAAATTCTAGGGGACCAGTTATACCAACTGATGCATATCTCTACAAAAATTATTTAACATATTTAAGTGGAATATTAAAATTAAAAACTAAGAAAATTTTAAAATTTGAAATAATCCAAACTCAAATGTGATCAGAACATAAAATAAGTCAGTCTTATATAATACGTGCACAACTCATTTGGTTAATATTATAACAGACAATGAATTATTGGGCTTTGAAATTTATTCCTACACGGCAGATTTATTTCTACACGGCGCAACCAATTTAACATACAATCAAAAATTTGCCGCAACTTTGACAAGTTTTTATTTTTTATTTTTTTTTTATCTCCAAACATTATATGGGGCATATCAGGAATTTTAAATATATCCAAATAAAAGCCCCGGTTTTATTTAACATTTTTTTGGTTAACTCTGTAATTTAACATTTCTAAGCCTTGTTCTTTTTTTGGTTTTTTCTTCTATTTTTTTTATTTTATTTAATTTTTTTTTCAACTGATTTTTTTCTTTCTTTATAAACTTTTCTTATTCCTAAAATGTTTATTAGATCATCCAAGACCTAGTACTTACATCTTTAAGTGATAAGGACAATTCCATTCCATTCTTCGACTTTTGAGACCCGTTACAGTGAACAACGTTGGTTAGCAGCAGCGGCAAAAATTTTACAGTGTCATGGACGTACCAGAGGGCATCGTAAAACAGAGCAGTATCAGTCTAAAATAAATACAGACCATTGTGAACGCGTTTAAATGTTTGTGCAAGTTGCAGCTGCGAGCCAAACGCAAACTTTCCATCGCCCGTTATTAGTTCAGGATTCAAGAATATTAAATGTTTACACGATGAAATTAGATCCTGAGAACATTGTAAGACAAACCTTGATAGCCATTTCCGTTTATGGGCGGAAGTTTCGCCGTTCGTGAAAATATCATTCATTTTTTGATGAGATATAATCCGACACTGTTATTAGATTAGCTAATAATATACATTTCAAGTTGAATATTGGGGTTAGTAATTAGAAATTAAACTTTGTAATAACTACTTCTTTGAAAAAAAAAGAAAAATTTATAAAATGCTTTAATAAATTTAAAAATATAGTGATCTTTGAATTTTTCACAAATCAAATATATTTTACTTTGAAGTACAAATGAAATAAAATACTTCTAAATTGTATTTTACATTTCTAATAAATCTTATTTGACTATAATTGATTCTTTTTCGCTTATCCTTTAGATAGTATAACTGGAATATCAGTCGTAGAAAAACTCTTTCACGACTACCACAAAAAATTACTACCGACAGTGGAACAGAATTTAAAAATTTCGATTTAGATGATTTTTGTAAATTACACCATATCCAATTACATATCACTACCGCAAAAAATAGTAATTCAAATTCCCCAGTAGAACGATTTCATCCAAGTCTATTAGAACATTATAGATGTTTACAAGAAGAAAACAAACATTTTACACCAGATAGACTAATTAAAAATTCTGTATTTTGTTATAATAATAGTATACATTCAGTGACAAAGTTCGCACCCTTTGAAATAATAAAAGGTCACATTGATAATTCGGATCCCTTTGATTTAGACGATCACTTAATAATTTCTAATTATGTACAAGATCATAAACAAATTAGTAAACAGATGTATAACAAAATTAAACAACGTAATGAGGAAGTAAAAAAGAATTTAATAAACAAATTAAATGAAAAGAGATCTGAACCAGATAACTATTCTAAACAAAAGTCATGTTTTGTAAAAACAAAATCGAGAAATAAAAAATTACCAAAATTTAAAAAGGCAAATGTCATTGAAGATAAAGGTATTTTATTAAAAACAGATAAAGGTACTTATCATAAAAGTATTGTTAGAAAGCCAAAAAATAATTTAGAAAAATTGTTACAGGATATCGACGAAAATGAAATCCCTTTTGATAACGACGCTGTTCCAAGTACAAGTTCTACAAGTCATTTATGTATACCAAATACATAGTTCATCTTCTGATATACAGATCACTCCGATCGAAAATTTTCTGCTTCCTATTCAGTTAGGAACCGCTAAACTTATATATAACAAACATACGTTTTTACATTATTTAGATTTAGAAGAAGTAGTTAAACAAGTTAATAATTTAGTTAATCATTTTGAAACAATAAAACATAACATAGTATAGTTCATGTTAATGCTAGTAATCCCATATCTTATCATAGCTTATCACAAAATATGTTAACAAGAACAGAATATTTAATAATTACTATTCAGAGAAAGATTAATAATTTAATTCCTCATGTAAGACATAAAAGAGCTCTAATTAATGCAATTGGAAAAATTAACAAATTTAATGGCTATTTGGAAATCTTGATTCTGACGACGAAGAAAGATATAATAATGTTATCAAAACATTGCAAGAAAATCAAAAAAATATTATCAGTGAAACAAATCTTCAAATTTCATTGTACAAAAGACTTGTTGATCATTATAATAAATCAATTACAATCTTAAGTAAAAATCAAGAAAACTTTAAAGTTGATATGGAAAAAATTCAAGCAGCAGAATTAATACACTTGAAAGTTATATTAGTTTTCAAGCCATTATATCACAAATTGATTTAGATTGTAAAATGGCAATTTCTTTTATAGATAATTTAGAAAATGCTATAACCTTTGCAAAATTAAATTCTATAGTTTCCAGCTCAGACATTAACAGTCGCACTGGGATCGGGAGGGTCAGGCAATGACCCCAGCTTAGTTTTTTTAGCATTACGTACTTATTTTTACTTTCTCTTCAAAATCCTTTTAGGACTTTTTTTACGTATTTTTTCAACCCATTGACATACGGTTTGATAAAATTGGTAAAATATTTTACCTTTGCCGGACGTTTTTATAACGTGTAGTACGAGCGACATGCGTGCGCCTCCAATACCGATGTGCTCAGCTTCCGCGACGTTTTACCAGTTTAATTACAGTTGTTGTTCAGTGCAGTGTTGATAAAGATATTTTTTGGATTCTGTTTTATTTATATTTTGATATAAATAGAAGATGTTTGACTGATCCTGAATTGGAAGAAGCTCTTTATGGTGATGAAGATTTTTTGCATAGCGATCTCAAGAAAATCATAGATTCAGATTTGCAACGCTCAGACGAAGAATCCGAGGTCGATCAAGGTGAACAGTCTGGTCATTTTCTTCAAGAAACAGAAAATAAATCATCTAGTAACAACAGTAAATCAATAGCCGGTTTCAAAAAAACACAGAAGTTTCTTTCGGCAATGTGTCAAATATTTGAAAGTGGTTATATTCTATAAGTTTTTGTATTTTTTAGCTTCAAATGCTCAGTTAGAGCAGGATGAATTTCCCAACGAAATTATGGATCAGGAATCAGCCGAAGAAAGTAGTAATACAGAGGAAGATACCGAAGAAAATGGTATTCTATTCTATTCTCAAAAGAGTTCATAGTAGTTTTTATTGTTTTTTTTTTTAGATAATATAGCAAGACGTCGTCCACGACCTAAAGCTATAATAAATCAAACCAATTTTGATATGATTTCTGCATCAGGTGTTACTTGTAAACCTAACCCTATTGCTCGACGAAGACAAATTGCTGCCAATATAATGAACGAAGCCCCAGGTCTAAAAAAGGGAATAAATCCTAAAACGCCACTTGAAGCATTCCGACTCTTTTTTGATGACACCATTGATTTTATTTTACAACATACAAACCAGAAACTCGCCCTTGTAAAAGAAAGTACTTCACAATTTTCTTTCATACAAAAAAATCAACAAGTTTTGAAAAAGACGAAATATTAGGCTACATAGGATTATTGATAACAGCAGGTGCTTATATAAGCAAAACAAAGATCCACTGATAGACTTAGTTAGTAACGAGAATTTGCCAATTTATAAGGCTACGTTTTCACATTACCGTTTCTAACTACTGCAAAAATGTATTAGGTTCGATGATCAAACTACTCGGGGAATTCGAAAATAATATGATAACTTTGCTGCAGCAAGAGATATATGGGAGCGTATCACAAGAAAATTTCCAGACTTTTTGGTACCTTCAGAATCAGTTATAATAGACGAGGAGCTAATAACATTCCATAGCAGATGCAAATTTCGTTTATATATTCCTACATAACCTGGTAAATATGGAATTGAAGCTAATGTGCTCTGTGACTCAGAAAACTACTACTATTTTGCTGCAGAACCATATACAGGAAAAGTAATAAACAAGCCCAAAGATTACAATAGTGGTCCGGAAGTTGTAAAACGTCTTGTAGAATTAGCAAAATTGCAGACCAGTGGTCGCAACATCACAATGGACAGGAAGTTTGCGGCAGTCCCAATAGCAAATTCTTTGTTGGAACAAAATCTTACAGTCGTGGGGACGATATTGAGTAACAGAAAAGATGTTCCACCAGAACTAAGACCTCAATCTTTGAAGGCTGCAAGGCCTGGCACTATTCGCTTTGGTTTTCGGGACTGTGAAACACTTGTAAGTTATGTACCAAAAAAGAATAAGGTCGTCACTGTTCATTCTACGCAACATCATGATATGAAAATTCAGAATGATAAACCAGACATTATATTATATTATAACTCCTCAAAAGCCGGCGTCGATACTCTTGATAAATGTGTAAGAGCATATAGTTGTCGGCGAGGCACAAGAAGATGGCCGATGACAGTCTTTTTCAATTTGATTGATAAAGTTGCCTACAACTCCTACATTCTCTTCATAAAAGCCAACGAGAACTGGGCAAAAGAGAATCCGAAACAAAAATCTGGAAGAAAACTTTTTTTAAAATGTTTAGGCAAGAAATTGTGCCAAATTAACATAAGAAATCGTTCAAAATATAGAGGACTTTAAAATAAATACATAGCTGCTTTGAAAATGTTTGGATTTGAATGTCAACAGGACCAGCCTACGACAAGAGGTGTTGTTCATCGTGAGCCACTCGGACCAGCTACTCGGTCCGCTGTGCAAAAAAATCCCAAAAAAGAAAGGTGTTTTATTTGTCCAAGGTCGGCTGATAGAAAATATATGAAGGCATGATTTAATTGCGAAAAGTATATTTGCCCTAGGCATACGGCCAGCGAACAAATTAATACAATTAGAAAATGTACAAACTGTAATAATGTTTAATAATGTTATTCTATTTAAACACTGTTTTATTAAAATTTTTAATAAAATGAGTCTTCATTATTAAAATTGATTTTAACCAAGACCCTTGACTTTTTGACATTGTTTTACATTAAGCTCCTACTTGAGTTAAAGAAAATCTGGGGTGAGGCGCTAGCCCCCCTGTTCCGAATTCAAGAAAATTTGGGGTCAGTCGCTAACCCCCCTGTTCCATTTTCTCCGAGTACCCAGTTAGGGTCCCAGTGCGACTGTTAAAGATATGATAAAATATTTACATAAAATATATAATGATCAAATTCCGAAATTTACAAATTTATTAACGTATTATCAGTTCTTAGGAACGCCAAGTATCAATTTAAGAGTCCAAGTTAATTTTTGCAATACATTTTCCTATTTTTGAAAGTAATGCCTTTGAATTTTATCATTTATTCCCAATTATCCAAAACCAAAAAATGTATACACCTTTATTTCCCTATTTGGCACGAAAACATCAAGAAACGCAGTTTGAACGATAAGAATGTCCATCCCTTGAAAAAATTTATTAATTTCAACAGAATTTCATCCCCAGAGATAATTGTACTCTCCAATTTCTTGAAGGAAGAACTTTGACAAATTGTCATATTTTAAATGTTAATTTAGAAGAATCAGTATTTTAACAAATCGCAGTAGATGAAGTCCTAATAATCCCGTCAAAATCGGAACAAATTCTTGCAAAATGTAACAATAACCAGTATATAGACATAAGATCACCTGTACTAATCAAGATACCAAAATCTTGTGAAATTTGGGCCAACGAAAGAACATACATCAACAATATTCAACTGAGCAGAGGAAAGCCATTTATTTTACCGAAGATCGACATGAAGAAAATCCAAACTTCAAAGTCTTATCAAACTTCCAATATAACTAAATTAGATTTTAATGATTTATATGAAATTAATCAAATTTCTAAACAATTAAAGCCAATTAAAGAAATTCAAAATAATTTTAATTATTCAAGCACTTTTGGAACAATTTTTGTAATTTTTATTTGCATAATTATTTTAATATTAATTAAATACAGAAGACAACTTTTAAGAAGATTTAGAAGATAGTAGAAAGAAAACGAAGAAATTGAATTACAGAAGATGTTTTGAAAAATAGCTCCATATTTTTCAAAACTTAAGGAGGGAGGAGTTATATATTGAGAACATAATAGACTCTTTTATATATTATCTTTGATTAATAATCAGTTTTACTTTATAAATAGGAGTAGAACCTTATTATTGTTGTTATTTTTCTATAGTTATTTGTTATTTGAAGCCGTTAATTGAAGTAGCTTTAGTACAGATATCCATTTAAGTGTATTTTATACTTAATAAAATTTTTAAAAATAAAAGTTCTATTTTAGAATTTATAACTGGCGCAGTCAGTAGGATACACGCGAGTCGTGAAAAAGTTTAATCGAGTTCGCTGTTGCCGGGCCGAATACTAACTTATGATAGAATAAAGTGACTAAGGAAAAATTGACTTCGTTACACTGTCATACCCTGCTTAACCTTAATTAGCGTTATGAAATTGAAAAAATAATTTTAATAGAAAAAGCAGTTTTAAAATATAAACAATTACCTTCAGTTTTCTGTAATGAATTAGTTCAGCCAGGCCTATTTTCCTTATGGTTTCTTTTAGAGAATTATCATGATCATCGAAGAGCCTTATGGTGGTAATATTAGCTGTAGTATTTAAGTCAGAATAATCAAGTGTGAGAGCATCCTGAAATTATAGAAAAAAATAGATAAAAATTATTAGGAACATTATTTTAAGTGATTAAAAAAATATTTATTAGGATACAATTAATAAATAGTATGTTATTTTTTATTTAAATTACACAAAAGTATTTTATTGATAGTAATATATTGTTTTCTCTGTGTATGTACGTGCATTTTGTTAGTATTTAAATCTTGTTTACAATGAATATTTAATAACTTACCATATCGATTAGAAAATAGTTATTATAGACATTCAAAAGATTGGCTTCTTTGGCTTGACGTAGTAGTGGCTTAATATGTTCAGTTTTACAGTCCAAAATAATATTTGTTTGTGTAGATCTTTCAACTTTTGCAAATAATTCTCTAAAAATTAAATCAGTAGTTAATAAAAAGTATACCACCTAAGTTGGAATCCTATGAAAAACTTTTTTATTATTACTTTTAGGAAAAAAAGGAATTCCTCATAAAAAGTTCTACATTATCTAAAACCTAGAATACAGTCATCAAATATCAAATTTTTTCAGTGGTATACGAGGTTTGTCAAAAAAAAATGAGTTTTACTCAAGAGTAAAATACCTTTATTCTTTATACCACTATATCTGATGGTTGTATTTTAGGTTTGCTTGACATTTTATAAAGAATAACGTTTTCCCAATATTAATAATAAAAAAAATTCTAATATGCCACCAATTTACATAGACAGTTGGTGGCATAGGAAAGCTTTTTTATTACTAATTTTAGGAAAAAAAGTATTTCTTTTCACCTTTGGGGTCCGAAGATGGTCTTGATAATTCGTAAAAGGATTATTGAGATTTGTTTCCGAATTTTCAAGTTATAACTTTTTTCATATATAATATCGCGTATTTCATTTAAAAAACTAATAATGACATCACAGTTCGGTGAAATAGAACAAGAAAATTTCATAACCACTAAGTAGTTGACGTGTTTTTGCGTTTTTACCAAAATGTAATTACTTATAGAGGTTTTATGAATTTTTTGCGTTCCTTTTATGACACACTGCTAGGTACTTTGGCAATTTTATTTTATTTATCTATCCAGGGGCGTATATACGAAAGGGTGATGGAAGTAGATATCCCCTAAGAATTTTGAAACCTAATTTTGTATAGCAAACATCTGGGATAGTACGTAACCCACTTTAAAGGTAACTCTCCGTTTGAGATTTGAACGCGTTTGCAAGGCTTTGGGATATAAATTCTCACCTTTTTATTTAACAAAATTAAATATTAATTTTTTATCAATTGTTAAGAAAACCTTAATATATGCTTCTGTAGAATTATATTTTTTAAATTAATTTTTACTTTCCTATCTGTATACAGATATAAGGAAAGTATAGGAATCATGATTTTTTTCGACCTCGAGTTTTCGACGGATTTTTACGTTTTGAGGTCCCCTGAATCCGTTTTGACTATTTTCGCGATGATGTCTGTGTGTGTGTGTTTGTAGGTCGCATAACTCATGAACCAATACACAGAAAAACACCAAATTTTAAACTTAAGCTTTATTCCAGCGTCTTATGAACTGATTAGGTCATTTTTATATTTTATGGAATATATCTGTTATTTACGTTTGGAGAAGAAAATTCTTTAAATAAAAGTTACTTCTAATATAATTTTCTATAATTTTTGCTCTATACAAAATTTTTCTAAAATGGTCCGTATTCGAGAAATTTGACAAAATATAAAAAAAATATTTTTTTATAAATGTTGTTCAACTAAAAGTTGTTTGTAATATATTTCTCTATAATTTTTATTTTATACATAATTTCTCTAAAATGGACCGTATTCGAGATATTTGAGAAAATGTGTAAATTTCGAATTTTGAAGAAAACTCAAAAACGGATAAAGAAAAAAACATTAAATTTTAAACTTAAGGTTTATTTCGGCCTGACGTGAAATGATTAAATTTTGGACAAAGTCGGAACATCTAGGGGGTACTTTATGGGAGGCCGTTTTTATATTTTATGGAATATATCTGTTATTTATGTTTGGAGAAGAAAATTGTTCAAATAAAAGTTACTTCTAATATTATTATCTATAATTTTTATTTTATGTCAAAATTTCCTGAAATAGTCCGTATCCGAGAAAGACAAAATGTGCAAAATTCTGATTTTTATGAAAATTGTTAAACTAAAAGTTTTTGCGATATCGATCTCTATAATTTTTGTTTATACATGATTTTTCTAAAATGGACCGTAATGAAAAAATTGTAGGAAATTTAAATTTTTCAGTATTTTCGTTTTCCATGAATATCTATAGAAAAATGTTTCGAGGTAGATGTATGTGGACAATGTATATATTTAGTTTATCCTTTAAACATTTATAGAGATGCTGCAATAGGTTGTACAAAATAATCGGAAAAAGCCTATAATAACTAGATAGGAAAGTCATGTGTTGGACACATCAGATTTTTTAAAAAAGTTAATAAATCTCAAACCTAGTCCACAGTTTGGGCACTTGCTACAAATTAAAAAAAAATATTTTCCAAATTATAATTTTGTAGAAGCATAAATTAACGCTTTCTTAATCCAAAGATAAAAAAAAAATAATTTTTTATTTAAATTTGTGTGATCGTTTATATCCTAACCCTCTGCAAGTGCCATTTTCATGCAAAATATGATATCGGGACGTGGCGACACCATTCAAAACGGAGGTTCTTCAACTATTTATGGGCGGAGAATAAGTTGGACGTATTCAAGATTATAAGGACAAAAATGAAATGAAAACAAAAAATTATATTTTTAAATAGATAGGTACAATGAGTAGGTATATTTTATTATAATAAAATTATTACTTCTTTGTTTTTGTATGATTATTTTAGTGAAATAGAATAAAACTATTTAAATGAGATCTATATTTAACAGAACTAAAATTTTAAAATATTTTTTAATATACAGAATGGGTGTCTCAAAAGAATTATAAAAAACTTATTTATTTTTAAATAAAATGTCTTAGACGCCGTTTCATATAGGTACTACTTATTTACATAATACCTATAGGGCCTGATTTGGTTCTGCGACTTTTGTACTAAATTTTGCTTTACTAAAAACCAAAACGCACATTTGCATCCGACTTAAATATCTCTCTGGCTGTCGTAACGTGCGGTTGTGTTTGTTTTGTTTTGCATTTTCGCAGTCTGACTATTACTCAACATGTGTGTTTGTTTTTTGTTTTGGTTTGGTTTTTAATATTGTTATTAATTTGCCGTAAGTAACCTTCTTAGTAAAGTATTCGCAGTGACCTTGATCTAGAAATGGCTGTGTATAAGTGTGACAACTGTCTTAAGGAATTTTCTGAAAAAGACAAATATAATAAACTTCGCTGCAATGGTGATTGTCGACGTTCTTTTTGTATGAACTGTACTGGCCTGGATAAAGCTACTACAAAAATCTTAATATTACAGAAATTTATTCACATACGATTCTTCTGTACCCTCTGTGACTCTCCAAATTTAAGATACCTTAATGATAAAATTTCTAATATATCAAAGAACCAGTACCCCATTAGATTTTTGACTCACTTGCTAATCGTATGAATCAACTAACAAATAGCGTACCAACTATTTAAGAGATGTACGATATTTTATTAAAAAACGAAAACAGATGGAGTCTTTTGGAAAAGAAAATCGACGAAATTCATAAAATCTCAGAAGTATTTACCATATTTAAGCCAGATCTATTGCAGAAATCATTAAGGGAAATGGAACAGAATATATTTAATATTTCTTCAATCTTCTTAAATAATACCGAAGAGGCAATAAAAATAAATGTATAGAACACTTCAGCCCCAGAAATTAAAATGGGGATCGAAAGCTTGGAAAAAAAACTAACAAATGTTTCAAGCCTAGTTCAGGAGTTAAACTCCAAAATTGTGTCAAATAAACAAAATAATCAACCTACGAAAAGACAATCTATCTACACCACATCGTCTTCTACGCAAACCATAACGACTCCTGAAGCCATAACGACTCCTGAAGCGTCCAATACCTTAGAAGATTCTAAAGCTCCAGTCTGTAGTCTTAATCAAAAGTGGCATTACGTAGTAGTTAGCAATCTTCCTTCAGGCTCTACTCTAAATCACGTTGTGCATTACATCAAGGAAAAATTAGGATCTAGTGAGTTTATTCGTTGCTACCCCTTGATCAATGAGAATAATGAATCTAAGGAAACAACATTTAAAATAGGGCTGCAGTCAAGAAATTCCGCACAAAAACTATTAAACAACAATATCTGGCCGGCTGCAGTCTCAGTTCAATGGTCAGTCGAATCCTCCGCTCTCCCAAAGGCTTCGACTTTCCCTAAGACATCGACTACCCCTAAGGCATCGACTCTCCCGATGACATCTACTTCCCCAAAGGCTTCGACTACTCCAAAGGCTCCGACTCCTCCAAAGGCTTCGACTACTCCAAAGGCTTTGACTCCTCCAAAGGCTTCGACTCCCCCTAAGACTTTGACTCCAACGTACACTCCGCAGCAGAAACAGAATAATCACAAAACCCTTGCTGATTTGGATTATTCTTTAAGTAAAAGTATATGCCCAAATCAACCTGAAGTATTGACCATCTCTTCCGACAAACATGCTATCTCAGCTTGTAAATCCAACAACTTTTCCTATGGTAAGTCCTTACAGATCATAGCAGAATCACAAGACAACACAAATAACTCGCTGGACCCGTTGACTCCTCCTAGAGTCCGACTAACAAAAAAATCGTGTATCGGCAATGGTCGTTATTTGATGGCTAGACTAAGAGAACCGGCTATTTTATCGTCCCTCAAGCTCTTCCTCGCCTATCTTCATGACCAACCATCATCTGTCTGTCATGAGGGCTACACAAACACAAGTGTCAAAGTGTTTCTAGCCTCTGAGGGACTGCCTGTTGATCCTGGAGCTTTACGGACCATTTATTATGATTATCATGATCTATATGGTATTGGCTCAGCTGGAGTGGATAACGATCTCTCTACCTACAGAGCATATATATCCGCGGAACGAAGAATACACCTGCAGAAGCAAAGGGAGTACAATCATCGTTATTTTACTGCCGATTCACCTAGGAAAATTTTTTAATTAATACGACGTGTCCTGGGGAACTAGAATCCCCAACTAGTCTTACTGGCTATGCCGACAGTAAATTAAGAATGGTTCTAATTAATATTCGATCAATACGGAATAAGACTGATGAATTGTATTTGTTTTTGGAAGAGTTAGGGTTTCCCCAAATAGTTGCTATTACAGAACACTGGTTACAAGTTGGTGAACCAGTTTTTGTCGAAAAATATACTATCGTCAGCAGATATGATAGAAGTAATACAGACCATGGTGGAACTCTAATTTTATCTTTAGACAAGGACTTTTCTGCTGTATCTAAATACGACTTTCTACAAGCTGAAAATTTCTTCGAATTTTCCATTGTAAACAACAAAAACATTGATTTGTTTATTATTTGTATTTAAAGAACACCTAAATCAAATGTTCACCTCTTTCTAGAGAATCTTCTTAATCTACTTGACGCATTGCCTATAAAAAAGTAAGAAAATTTTATGCGGCGATTTTAATATTGACTTTGCTAATGTATGTGCTACTCAAAAGTCTTTGATCAATATTTTTGAATCACTCAGTCTCACTATGCACGTAAATTCTCCAACTAGAATCACAGAAACAACATCTACAATTATAGATTACGTAGTCTCTGATTTTAAACCCATTGATGTAGAGCACCAAGTAATTAGTTCAGATCTCTCAGACCACGAAGCAGTATTTGCCAAATTTTTGATACCCCGTACAGCTCCAAAAAAAGTCCGTCAGCTAGGTAGAATTTTCTCTAAGCATAATTTCAAAAATTTCTATAATTTATGTCTAACTACTGATTGGAATGGTCTTTCTGAAGATATTGACTCTAAATTTTTAGACTTCTTAAATAAAATAATTATGTGTTTCAATACAGCTTTCCCCCTTCGCCCCATTAAAACTAAATGTTATAAATCTTGGACAACTAAAGGAATAAGAACATCATCTAAAAATATGAGGTCACTCATGTATCTTAAAAAGTACACAGATAATCCCCTAATATTAAACTATATCAACAACTACAGAATATTGTATCGGAAAATCACCAAATCTGCTAAGAAAAACTATTACAAAAATCGCATCGCAAGAGCTAAAAACTCCTCCAAAGAAACCTGGTCTATAATAAATGACTTAAGGAATAAAACCCGTTCTTCAAACAGTGTAAATCCTAGCCCAGATGAACTAAACAATTATTTCGTAAATGTAAGTAAAAATATCAAATCTAACATAGCTCCGAGTCAGGATGCTCTCTCCTTCCTCCTACCTACTAAAAGAATCACTGAAAGTTTCTTCCTAAGACCAGTAGACAAGCATGAACTAGTGCAAACCATAAACAACATCCAAAATAAATTTTCCTGTGGAATTGATGGCCTGCCCACCAAAATATTTCTAAATATACCGGATGTAGTAATCAACATTTTAACTTCACTAATTAATGAATCCTTTGAAATTGGTCTCTTTCCTAACTGTCTAAAAACAGCTATATTAATCCCACTTCATAAAGGTGGCGACAAAACCAAAACCTGTAACTATAGACCTATCGCGTTATTGCCTACCTTATCGAAGATAGTAGAACGGCTAATGAAAAACCGTCTTTTGCCCTTTCTTTTCAAGCATAACATCCTCACAGCTCATCAGTATGGCTTTCTACCTAAAAAATGCACTAGCGACGCAATGTTTTCCGTTCTTAATGAAATATACACATCACTTAATGATAAACTTTTCACCGCTTCAGTATTTTGTGACTTCGCAAAGGCCTTCGATTGTGTAAATCATGATATTTTAATTAATAAGTTACAAATTTATGGCATACGGGGTTCTCCTTTACAATGGTTTAAAACTTACCTAGAAAATAGAAATCAACAGGTGCGGGCGAATGGTGAGGATTCTACAAATCTAGCAATAAGCAGTGGAGTACCTCAAGGATCAGTATTAGGTCCAATTTTGTTTTTATTGTTCATCAACGACATCACAGACTTAAGAATAAGTGGTAGAATTACTTTATTTGCTGATGACACCAGTGTAACCTGGAATAATTCTAACATGCAGACATTACAATCTATCATAAGTGAAGATCTAGTGACTATTAAGTCCTGGTCTGATTCGAGTGGACTTTGTTTCAACACCAGTAAAACTGTAGCATTGTCTTACAAAGGTACTTTACAACCTATAACTTTAAACAATAATCTGATCCAAACGGTGACTACAATCAAGTTTTTAGGTCTTTATATAGACGATTCTCTAAAATGGTCTGCTCATATAGATACCTTAGCAAAAAAATTATCCTCCGCATGTTTTGCCATTAAATCGGTTTCTAAAGAGCTGACTTCTTCTACTGCATTAATAACCTACTTTTCCTTATTCGAATCTCACCTTCGCTATGGTTTACCTTTCTGGGGTTCTTGTAGCTTATACCTTTTCATATCTATTTTTAAACTGCAAAAAAGAGCAATCCGCTATGTATTTGGTTTAAGTAGTAGGACACATTGCGAAAATTACTTCAAAAATTTCAAAATTCTAACCCTTCCTGCTCTATTTATTTTCGAATCCGTGTGCTTAGTTCGCAAGCACATTCAAAATTTATCCGAAAGACCGACTCATAGATATCCCACAAGAAATTTAGAGACTGATGTTTATTTAACAATGCCCACTTCTGACCTATTAAAACATTCCATTACCTACAATGCCAAAAAATTGTATAATAACCTTCCGATGCAATTAAAATCTATAAATACATACGATAAGTTCCGAAGACGGGCTAAAGCTTTTCTTCTAGAAAGACCATATTATACAGTAACAGAATTTTATAACGTACCTTAGACATTTGAGTTCCACATACAATGGTATTAATTAAATATTAAAGTTTAAATTTAAATTTAAAAATTAAATTAGAATAATTATAATGACGGATATTGCATATCCATTGCAATTGTTATTCCTATTTTGTCTGTTTGTTTCTGTTTGTTTTTTCTGCTGTTTAGTTATTTTTATAATATGTTTAGTATTTAAGTTACACGCTTTGTCTATAAAACTTTTGTACATTTTTTTACGACAATAAAGCATATCTCTCTCTCTCAAAGAAACATCCTACAGACATCGAGCCATCAAGCGCGCGAATTTGCCAAATTGGATTAAGAGGTACCTCATCGCGTCTTATTTAGCAGATTTGAAATCTGGGTTATGAGCTCTTAAAATGTGCATTTCTTGATATAATTATATCATTTTATGATGTGTTGTTATAGTCCAATCATATTTAAAATACTCACGAATAGTCTGGTCCAGGTCCTAGTTTTTCAAATGCTATTTTATTCCTCTTATCCTTCTCGTTATATTTCTGAAAATTCAATACTTCTTTTAATTTCAACAATGTGTCATCCTTTTCGTAAATCACAACAAAACTCTTCCATCCAAAGCTTCTGACTATCTCTCCTAGAGAGTGCGCATACATGTTAGTTTCCGGAAAGAAATTCATGAAGAAACCTTTGTCCTTATCGGCACGTGGTCGCCATGAATAGGAAATGTACGGAACTTCAAATTCCAAACAAATTGATTCTAAAATCGTTGTGGCTGGTGTGTATCTTGGACCGAAGATGGCGAGGACGCCAGTGCTTAATACCTCGCATACTGAAAATATATAACAATAAATTAATGTTGTGTCAAAAAGTTGGATATCTAAAATAATGATTGACCTGTAAACACTAGGTATTTCTTTTTATAAATCTAATAATATTAAAAATTTAAAAAAGGACATAAGTAAGCATCATAGTCAATTTTTAACCTATCTTTTCAAAAAGATTCTGCATGTATACTAAATATAGTCGTGAGATAGTGCATTAAAGAGGGAATGTACACAAACTCAACCAAAACTTTTGCAATTGCATTAACATGAAAAAAGAACCTACAAGAAATGAAGATGCTTTACATGTTAAAACCTCATCTAAATTAGCAGAATCAGGTTAATAACTTGGAATTAACAGAAAATCATAGAGCATTTTCATGGGGTGGATGACAGGAAACACAAGAGGTCTTAAACAACCAATTATGATGCACTAGCTATATAATAAAGTGGATGTAATAGTTGTAATCTACTCATTAGACATATGGTGACATAACGCTAAAAGCATAACAGCTGGCAGAAAAATTTGATTAATTTGATTAATCTTAAAGACTGGCTTGTCTCATATTAACAGCAGACGGGTTATGAAAGGTTTGATTTATACTTAGATAAAAGAGACCAGAGATATAACATACACCGGTGTTTAACCTGCGCAAATGTTGTCAATTTCTAAAGAAGGTTAACGGAGTGGGGGAACTGGGCGGCGACACGCGGCGACCCTAACTCTGTGGCAGGGACCGGACTTTGTTTATTAGCATCATAATGAACTATTAGATTTATTTAAAGGTGTTTAATCGAATTTTGTATTAATGAAATAAAATTACCGTGATTTTTTTAATATCAAACAGATGCCACGACATTTTATGTAAAGAGAAGACCTTTTATAGAATATTTCGTTAGCGTTTATTTACTACGGACTTTTCTGCAAGAGATTATAGTAAAATGTTAAAATAGAATATATTGTTAATAGAGCAAAAAATATTACTCATTGTCTACAAGTATTACAAGAATAGCATGTGCGCAGGCAAATACTGCAAATCTAACCTTATGAGTTGAACATTATATTCTTTTTACGGCTATTACATAATAATAAAAATTAGTAAAAATGAGAAAATGCTGTTTTGTATTATAACCTCAGAAAAAGGTATATTAAGGCTTCTTTCTTTAGGAATATTAATTAATATAAAGGATGAGTCACATAAAACTCTAAAAATGCATGTCTAAAACCAGATAACATTTTAAAATTTAAATCTATTAAAAGTCATTTGGTCGCTAGGGATGAGTGATTATCGAAATAAATGATCGATCATTGAAAATAATCGATTATTTTCGATCAATCGATTATTTTCAAACAATATATTTTTTTGTCATTTCCTTTAAAATCGACTACTTGATTATCTTTGAAAAATCAAAAATAATCGATTAATTAAAAAGCCTATTGACCGATAAATAAGTGTTTACAAAATATAATAAAAAAAGAATGATCGTTTATTTTAAATAATCGTTTATTTTAAATAATCGATTATTTTCAAATAAACCATTTTTTTTTCGTCCGTGGAAACAGATTATTCGATAATCTTTAAAAAATCGAAAATAATCGATTAATCAAAAATATTCGATTAATTAAAAAGTCAATTAACTGATAAATCAATTTTCAAAAAAAAAGAGAATTATCGAATATTTTAAATAATCGATTATTTTTCATCGATCGATTATTATCAATAATCTATTTTATTGCATATCCTTTAAAATCGATAATTCGATTATCTTTGAAATACCGAAAATAATCGATAATTCCAAAATAATCGCCTAATCAAAAATAACCAATTAATTATAAGCCGATTCTATGATAAATCGATTTTAATCAATAATCTATTTTATTCCAAAATAATCGAATAATCGAAAATAACCAGTTAATTAAGAAGCCGATTCTATGATAAATCGATTTTCTAAAAAATAAAACGAATTATCGATTATTTTCTAATAATCCTTTTTTTAATATTTATTTTAAAATTGATTATTCAATTATCGAAAATAATCGATTATTAAAAAGCTGATTACCCAATAAATCGATAATTTTAAAAAAATAACTAAAATATCGGTTATATAAAATAACCGATTATATTCAATCGATTATTTTCATATAATCAAATAATAAAAAAACCTATTAAACGAAAATCGATTATTTTGAATAAATCTACTTTTTCTTGTATTTCCTTTAAAATCGATTATTACATTATTTTAAAAAAACAAAAATAATTTATTAAAAACAGCGGATAAATCGATTTTCATAAAAAAATATCAGAATTATCGATAAATCGATTATTTTTGTAACCCCTATTGGTCCCTTGCCTTTATCCGAGCATTTAGCTCCAAAATTTAGAGATTCGAATTTTTTGATCCCGTTATCTTTGAAACCGCATTCGATTGTATAATAAATAATAAATATTGCTAAATTTTGGATTTTTTTAGTAAACGAAAGTTTTGTTCGAGTTGTTTAGGGGTTTGTAATGTGACATTTTATTAATGTGACCAACTCCCGTAACTTTAGTATTTTTTTTTGCTTATACTAGATCATATGGTGCGTTTTATTTTGTATTAAGACTGAAGATTCAAATGTTACTTTTCGATTTGTACCGCAAATGAGATGAACCTTGAAATTTTAAATAGGTCATCCTGTATTTCATCTAATATTCTTATAAAAATACCTTATAAAAATAAAATTTAGCTAGCAACTATGATTCTTTACTTCTTATTTATCTACCAAAAAGGGCTAAAAACCACCTTTAGAAAACATTCTTATAAAACTACTTTTTAAATACAAAATTTCGTTACCAAACAATGCCCATTTACTTATTATTTAAATTAAATGTTCAAAATTTTACCTTTTTGTAAATTTATGTAAGTAATATGAAATCTGATTTCTGATGCTTAATATTTATTGAAACCCCTTAATGCGGATCTGAAGTATTCAGCCCAGAGAATCATGGCGCTTTATGTCAAAACGTTAAATAAATAAATATTTACCACTGAAAACGAATATATTCATAACATTAGTACTTGTATTATAAGTACATACAATTTTTGAAGATACATCGTGGCATTTTGAACTTGAAATTGAATAACTAGAACACTTTAAATTGCTAAAATACCAACAAATAAATCAAAAAACAGCTGTCAATGGTGATTAAACTCAGGTGAAGGTGATCGATGAATGGAAAAATTGGAGCAATTCGGGTGGCGTCGTGCAAACAATGATTTTCAATTGGTGGGTTACTTTGGTTTAAAATAGACAACATGCGCAGTGTGCAATGTTACATCTTCGGTCTCTTTAATCTAAGGATTTATACATATGACGCATTAATTAGGAAGTCCTACTAGATCGTAATAAGTGTATCTACAACTTGTTTCATTTAAAGAAAAATTAGTCGTAAAGTAGTACGTTTAAAACAAACTCAAAAAATAAGAGATACAGATTTACGTCTTAGCAGAAAGAGGTAGCATAATCTGTGAATTTTTAATTTATCATGGGAAAACTACAGAAATCAAACTGCCGTTAATTAATCGCGTTGTCGATCAAAATTATTGCCTGCCAACTGTTTTAGTTTATAAAATCTCCAATACTTTGCATCTAAGTCAATATTTTTGCAGCCATGTACAATTAGAATAAATTGCTTCTATATTAACCACATTGAAACACAAATAACCTGCAACCCAAAGCTTAATTGGTAGTTTGGTAAGTAAGAAAATGGTAAATCTAGTTCTGTTGCTGCTCTAAAAGATACTAAAAATAAATTAATCACCAATGGTCCAGCAAAATTTGAGACCTTTTCGAAGTACATTAGTTCTGTTTTAACAAACACATTAATAATACTACTACTTCAACTAATTATAATATGCTGCATTTATAAGGTATGTCAATTTAACGATAGCCTTCAGTGGCAATTTCTTTAAAATGTCTTTATTCCTAAGGTCATATCCTGAGGCTTTCTGTGAATTTATGTTTGTTTGAATTTCTTTAGTAACTTTATTGGAAGTAACTATCCCAATTTTAAGTTGTTACATAATATGAATCGTCTCGTTATGAGTGTCTTGATTTGTATGTAATTGAAACGTCTTTTATAGGTCAGCTTCTTGTTGATTATCCTTGCCCATTTATTATTTGATATTCTGATAGAAGGACAGTGTTTACACGAATTGTTAATCTTTTTAGTTGCCTTCGAGAGTGAACAACCAGTTTCTTAATCATCTCTTAAACCTACTAGGTATCTGCTAAAGGATTTATCTTCGGTTCTTGTAAATTACATCCGTCTAGTAATAAACAAAATTATTTAAATCCTATAACCCAGGAATAATCAATGTAAATGATAAAATTATGCATAGATATATTTCGACAAAAAGCAAAAATAAAAAAAAATTCTTTAATTAAATATTTGATTTTTTTCCTCCTATTCTAAGCTCTGTAATTGTTTCCCTGTTAAGTTTACGTAAAATGCATAGACACCTGTTTGGTCCCAAACTCTTTAGTCCCAAAATTGTTTAATAATTAGTTTTAGTTGTTATTTATTTTATTCCCTAATAGACTTCTCTGTTAACTAGGATACACTTTCTTTTTAAAACATAAAAAACATAGTAGGAAACAAATGTCACAAAAAAGTGATTAAAAAAAATCACGTCGAATAAAAGTAATTTCACGCATTCAATTGCATTTTTAATCAATTTAATTAAAATATTAAGTTCTATTGATTTGTATATTTATGTTTATATTTTTGAAAGAAATCTTGGTCCTTCGTTTTTTTATAAAGAAATGCCTAACTCTACTTGTGCTACAGTGTTCGAGAAAAGGCGAGTGTCATCTGTTAAAAAACCAATTTTGTAAAGAATTTAATTTCCTACAAGGATACGAAAACAAAAATTGATTTAAAAATAAAACCAAATCTTTTTTTAACTATATTTTGGTGAAGATTACTAGTCCAAAAACACCAACTGGGGTTCAAGATTAACCACA